CCTCGCCGCAACATGGATCTCTCGATGAGGGTCAACCCTACGTTGTTACTAGTAACAACGGGGGGGTCGTACTTGAGTTTGTAGGAGGGAGGTCGTGCTCGAGGGGGGAAGGAAAAAACCGTTTCAGCGCGCGTATATACCCCCCCCGCTCGACGGCATTTTTGGAGGAAAAAGTGGGCGGAGTTTGGTGGGTTGAGTGGTATCAGAATTAAATACTATAGAGAGATGGTGGTCGAGGTGTGAAAAGGGGGTCGTATCCAAATCCACCTTGGGGGAGGGGGTCGTAAAAATTTTCAAAAAGTAACAACGATAGGGTTGACCCTGCTCTCGATCTCACTCAAGCAAACACTGACTAGGACCCTAACCCCGCAGGAAGACAGACCAGAAGCTTCCTTTGCACGGTGACTTGAACCTAATTCTAATGAATTTCTTAATTCAGATAATCACTCCAGAAGAGACGCAGAAATTCAACGACGATTATGATCAAATGCTTAAGAGTCGCGGTTTCACGTGACGAACGTCAATGTCCAGGGGACCGTCTCACTTACCAAAACGACAATGTATACAATTAAATTGCGCCGAATTATGCACTTTTTACTCGTACTTGTAAGGACAGAGAGAAAAGATAGATTAAATCTATTTGAAACATTCTCAAACTAAACATAGCAATAACCGTAGAACAGAAGCCTGTCAAGAGCACCTCACAAATGTGATCTCCCTCAACGCGAACTGGGCGATAAGTGGTAACATTAGTAAGTAAAGTAATAATAGAAAAAGAGGCTCACGTCCTTAGGGGACATTCGAAATAGGTCCGATGGTAGGTGACACTAGGGCAAAGTGAGAGAGGAGAGAAGAGCCGGGGAGAACCCAACTTGCTCGCAGACTCTCCTAGAATCCCTTCCCCTAAGCTTAGCCCTAAACTCAGTAATTGGCCCACTCAATTGCATATCCTCCTCCCCCCCCTCCAAACGATGTGAGCGCCGAGGAAAAAATACTAGGTCCCTACCAATAGTGCAGTACATTTCAGGAAAGCTAGTCTGCTCTGGAAACA